CATAATGGTATCAAGAACATTTTAAACAAGTTTCAACTTGGTTTCAAGTAGATCATACCTGTTTAACCATCGACAAGGTAAATCCACAACTTTGTCCAAATTCAGCGCCATTTTGTCATCCCATGTCGCTTGTTAACAATTCAGCCTTGTTACTCTTCCATCCAAGCCATTTCCATTCCACTAATAATAAATTTAACCCTTTATAACAGGAGGAAACTAAAAAATCTAAACAAAACATTAGAAATTCGCCATTTTATCACCCTGTAAAATTTCGCTCACGAGTCTTTCAAAACGTTTCGTACAAATATCGCGTGACAAAGTAACAGGGACGTGACGGGAGGGGGTGAATTATTTCACGAAGGTAGAAGAAGGCTGCGTGAAATAGACTAAAAGTTAAATACAATCATACAAATGTTTGTTTTATTTCTTGTAGTGACAAATACATACATTTATTATTTATTAATATGAAAAAGTCATGCAAATTAAATGTTGATTGTTGGTTTTACCAATTTACCATACTGTATGGGCTTTCATTTTTCACAGTCCCTACCCCCCCTGCAAGTCCCTGTTGCTAAACCACGCGAGATTTGTATGAAATGTTTTGAAAGACTCGTGAGCGAAATTTTACAGGGTGATAAAATGGTGAATTTCTTATATTTTGTTTAGATTTTTTAGTTTCCTCCTGTTATAAAGGGTTAAATTTATTATTAGTGGAATGGAAATGGCTTGGATGGAAGAGTAATAATGCTGAATTGTTAACAAGCGACATGGGATGACAAAATGGCGCCGAATTTGGATAAAGTTGTTGATTTACCTTGTCGATGGTTAAACAGGTATGATCTACTTGAAACCAAGTTGAAACTTGTTTAAAATGTTCTTGATGCCATTATGTCTGAGATGATTTACATTTTTTGTAGGATATCGACGAGATCGCCGATAAACAGCGGAGTAAAGTGGAGAACTTGGCCAAATACGTCCATTTGCAGGAGGTAGGCACATTTCAAATTATTATTTCGGTCAGAAAATATTAACTATTTTACACCAAACCAGTGATAATATATTTAAATAAGTACCATTTATGTTTTTATCAAAAAGATTTAGGGAAAAAGTTAATGTAAGTCCACTGCTGTTTATCTGAATTTGCAAGCCACAAATTGACGTTTAACTATGATTATTGCATGGCCATTTTCATGTGAAATATTAGTGCTAGGCATTTCACACTTACCAATGACCACCCCAATAGTACCATCTCTGAACCATGTAAGCACCTCAGAATAGCCAAAGCTTTTATGGTTTGGTAGATAGCAGTATGGCGAAAGCGTCGTTTTTGGGTGTGGTCAGTTTCGGACGTTTCGTCGCGGATTGGGGTTCGGGCAGCGTTACCATGTTGACCGTCATGGTCAACTTGCCCTAAAACAGTTGAGATTATCTGTCCTAAATGAAATGCATACAAACTCATATACAGGTCCTAGACTATTTTGGCTATCAATGAGACAAGGCTTGATTCTGCGGTTAGCGATAATGAGGTGCACATACAAGGTTATGAAATTGTTCGCCGCGATAGATACTTAAACGGTAGATGCGGTGGTGGTGTTTGTTTTTATATACGAAGTTGCATTAATTTTTCGGTACGATACGATTTGAAATTTGATGAATTGGGAAATTTATGCATTTCAATCAATAAACCTAGATCTAAGCCTTTTCTTATAGTGACATGGTATAGGCCACCAAATTCGGTCGTGGATAAGTTTAATCACCTAGAAACGCTACTAGGCAAACTTGATGCTGAAAATATTGAGTACTATCTGGTGGGTGACCTGAATTGTGATTTAAGCTCTACAGTCTAGGATCATAGTTCAAGGTTGCTCATTGATATTGCTGAAACATTCGACCTTCAACAACTGATAACTGAACAAACTCGAATTACAAGTTCATCGTCAACATTGATAGATCACATTTTTACAAACGCTCCTGATAGAGTGGTCTGCTCTGGTGTTTCTCACATTAGTATAAGTGATCATAGTCTTGTTTATGCCTTTAGAAAAGTTTCCGCCAGAATGCCGACAAGAGGACATACTACAGTAAGCTATAGAAAGTTTAAAAACTTTGATTCTGCCAAATTTCGTAATGATATTAGTCAGCAAAACTGGGACTTTATCCATCAATTTAAGAGTCCTAATGATATGTGGCATACTTGGAAAAACACATTTAATTTTGTTGTAGAAAAGCATGCTCCTTTACGCACAAAGCGTGTCAAGGCCTCTAAAGCGCCTTGGATTTCATCTCACTTGAAAGGTGAAATGCACAATAGAGATATTCTTAAAATCAAGGCAATCCGGTCTAATGATCCTTTAGATTGGCATATTTTTAAGAAAATGCGAAATTCCGTAAATCAAAATATTGCCCGGGCGAAGGAAAACTATTTTAAACGTGCGTTTTCTGAAAATAAATCCAACTCGAAAAAGACCTGGAATATTATTAATGATCTCACATCTAAAAATCGAAAAAGCTCGCATATTCACGAAGTTGATTTGGATGGTAATTTGATTAACGATTCCAACAAAATAGCTGATGCTTTTAATGAACACTTCTCTAACATTGGTCCGAAGCTTGCAGATAATGTAGATGTTAATCAGAATAATCGTTGTTATCTCGATTATTTACCTAGTCAAAATAACAACATCCGTTTTCAATTAAAAGAAACTAATTTCTCGGCAGTTTTCGTCCTTTTGTCCAAGCTAAGCAGGTCAAAAGCTACTGGTCTGGACAAAATTTCGTCCCGCCTACTTCGAGAGTGTTCTGATTTAATAGCGGAATCTCTTAGCTACATTTTTAATCGATCAATTGTCTCCGGAGTATTCCCAGATGAGTGGAAACATGCTAAAGTTGTCCCAATACACAAACAAGGGAAACGTAATTGCCCTGACAATTATCGCCCGATTTCCATTGTCTCGGTAGTGGCTAAGGTTTTCGAAAGGATAATTTATGATCAGCTGTATTTATTTCTATCTGAAAATAGTCTGTTAACTAATTGTCAGTCAGGATTTCGTGGTCTACATTCTACTGTTACCGCCCTTCTTGAGGCCGCTAACGATTGGGCTTATAATATCGATCATGGAAGCGTAAATGCTGTCCTGTTTCTCGACTTCAGGAAGGCGTTTGATACCGTAGACCACGAGATTCTTTTAGGAAAACTAAATTCATATGGCATCAATGGTGTTGCTGGCAACTGGTTCAGATCATGTCTCAGTGAACGGAAACAAAAATGTTTCGTTAATGGTCATTTTTCGACAAATCGTTTACTCCGTTGCGAAGTTCCCCAGGGAACTATTCTGGGGCCACTTTTATTCTTAATCTATATCAATGATCTCCCGAATTGCCTCTCTCACTCACGTGCACGCATGTATGCAGATGACACTCATTTGACTTACGCAAGTAACGATATTGATGACATTGATCATCACTTCAACGAAGATCTTGCTAAAGTCAGTGAGTGGTTAGTAGGTTAGTATGAATTGGAAAATTTATGCATTTCAATCAATAAACCTAGATCTAAGCCTTTTCTTATAGTGACATGGTATAGGCCACCAAATTCGGTCGTGGATAAGTTTAATCACCTAGAAACGCTACTAGGCAAACTTGATGCTGAAAATATTGAGTACTATCTGGTGGGTGACCTGAATTGTGATTTAAGCTCTACAGTCTTGGATCATAGTTCAAGGTTGCTCATTGATATTGCTGAAACATTCGATCTTCAACAACTGATAACTGAACAAACTCGAATTACAAGTTCATCGTCAATATAGGTTATCATATAAGGGATGAGGTGATATCAGTTTTATCGCTCGAGGGATGATATCACAATTGTCACGAGCGAGCGCAGCGAGCGAGGGACAATTGGGATATCGTCCCGAGAGCGATAAAACTGATATCACCGAATCCCGAGTACGATAACCTATTTATTATATACTTGTACCTTTATCAGGGTTTGACACCCATAAGTAAACAGTTTTGAAAAAATAGGATCATTTTAGAATTCAAAACAATTCATCGTTCAACAAATATGATTTTAGAAAATAAATAGACCAATAATATACAATTTAAGTCTTTCATTTTGTATTATCGTTCTTGTTTTCTTCGATAAACTGTCGACATCAACCAACACGAACCTCGAGTCGGCCATCTTTGTTTTGACAAGGCGCGAAATTTAGCGGGACAAAAAACGATATCCGGGACAGAAAACGATATCCGGGACAAAAAACGATATCCGGGACGATATCGTTTTTATGTCCCGCTGCTTCCTACCTGATAAAGGTACAAGTATGTGATAAACATTGATAGATCACAATTTTACAAACGCTCCTGATAGAGTGGTCTGCTCTGGTGTTTCTCACATTAGTATAAGTGATCATAGTCTTGTTTATGCCTTTAGAAAACTTTCCGCCAGAATGCCGACAAGAGGACATACTACAGTAAGCTATAGAAAGATTAAAAACTTTGATTCTGCCAAATTTCGTAATGATATTAGTCAGCAAAACTGGGACTTTATCCATCAATTTAAGAATCCTAATGATATGTGGCATACTTGGAAAAACACATTTAATTTTGTTGTAGAAAAGCATGCTCCTTTACGCACAAAGCGTGTCAAGGCCTCTAAAGCGCCTTGGATTTCATCTCACTTGAAAGGTGAAATGCACAAAAGAGATATTCTTAAAATCAATGCAATCCGGTCTAATGATCCTTTAGATTGGCATATTTTTAAGAAAATGCGAAATTCCGTAAATCAAAATATTGCCCGGGCGAAGGAAAACTATTTTAAACGTGCGTTTTCTGAAAATAAATCCAACTCGAAAAAGACCTGGAATATTATTAATGATCTCACATCTAAAAATCGAAAAAGCTCGCATATTCACGAAGTTGATTTGGATGGTAATTTGATTAACGATTCCAACAAAATAGCTGATGCTTTTAATGAACACTTCTCTAACATTGGTCCGAAGCTTGCAGATAATGTAGATGTTTATCAGAATAATCGTTGTTATCTCGATTATTTACCTAGTCAAAATAACAACATCCGTTTTCAATTAAAAGAAACTAATTTCTCGGCAGTTTTCGTCCTTTTGTCCAAGCTAAGCAGGTCAAAAGCTACTGGTCTGGACAAAATTTCGTCCCGCCTACTTCGAGAGTGCCCTAGTTTAATAGCGGAATCTCTTAGCTACATTTTTAATCGATCAATTGTCTCCGGAGTATTCCCAGATGAGTGGAAACATGCTAAAGTTGTCCCAATACACAAACAAGGGAAACGTAATTGCCCTGACAATTATCGCCCGATTTCCATTGTCTCGGTAGTGGCTAAGGTTTTCGAAAGGATAATTTATGATCAGCTGTATTTATTTCTATCTGAAAATAGTCTGTTAACTAATTGTCAGTCAGGATTTTGTGGTCTACATTCTACTGTTACCGCCCTTCTTGAGGCCGCTAACGATTGGGCTTATAATATCGATCATGGAAGCGTAAATGCTGTCCTGTTTCTCGACTTCAGGAAGGCGTTTGATACCGTAGACCACGAGATTCTTTTAGGAAAAAAATCGTTTACTCCGTTGCGAAGTTCCCCAGGGAACTATTCTGGGGCCACTTTTATTCTTAATCTATATCAATGATCTCCCGAATTGCCTCTCTCACTCACGTGCACGCATGTATGCAGATGACACTCATTTGACTTACGCAAGTAACGATATTGATGACATTGATCATCACTTCAACGAAGATCTTGCTAAAGTCAGTGAGTGGTTAGTAGCCAACAAACTTACTTTAAACCAATCTAAAACAGAATTTATGCTAATCGGCTCCCGTCAAAGGATTAGTACTTTCAACTCTAGTCCTTCACTGACAATAAATGACGTACTGTACCAATTAAACAAGTCTCTCACACAAAGTCACTTGGTGTACATTTAGACGAGAACTTGACTTGGAATGTTCATATCGAGAAATTATGCAAAAAAGTCGCTTCTGGCATAGGTGCATTAAAGCGTATAAGGCCATTCGTCTCACCTTCCACAATGCAACTTATTTACAATTGCTTAGTTCAACCCTATTTCGATTACTGTTGCGTTGTCTGGGATAGTTGCGGCAGTACTCTTGCGAATAAACTGCAAAAACTCCAAAATCGAGCCGCTAGAGGACTTACTTCATCTAGTTATGATACAAATGCTGAATATCTAATTGAAAAATTGAGCTGGAAAAACCTTGAATCTCAGCGAAAAATTGCCAAAGCTATAATGGTCTATAAATCTCTTAATGGTTTTGTGCCAGACTACCTGTCTGAAATGTTTGTTGATCGAAGTAGCGTAACAAATTATACATTGAGAGACGCCAGTAGAAAATTAGCTTTAGCTCAACCACGCGCAAATTACCTGAAAAATAGTTTTAGCTATAGTGGTTCTGTGCTGCATGTGGAACTCCCTTCCGGTTGAGTTGAGACAGTCTAACTCATTACGTAAATTCAAGTCAGACTGCAGCAACTTTATACATTAGTCAATAATTTTAGATTTTTATATTAATATATTAGCACGGCACTTATGGAAAACAGGTATTCTTGTAATATATAATTAGTATTAGTATAGTATGTATACATAATTAGTATCTTAATTAACTTTTATATTCTGTAATCTGTAACTATATTGTATTCTTTTATCATCTTTTATGTAAAATCCTGATAAGTCTACCGTGGGTAAATAAAATAAATAAAGTTCACAATCACAATCACAAATCAGCGACAGATTAAGCCCATGAATGGTCGTCGCAGCAACGTAGGGTGTTTGCCATGTTGCATTCAGCGTTGCCGTCAATTGGTCATATACATCAGCTTGGTCGTAATAATTTAACAAAATTTATTATAAGCTGCAGCGCTAGGTTTGGGTACAATCCGTACCCATACGTGATGTGTGCCTAGTTTGAACTACTCATTCCAATGGGTTTGTTTTGTGGAAAAATACCACGCATATTTATTTGGCAAAGTTTTTAATCGGCAAGTCTGTATCTTTATCGGTTCAAATAGTATTATGAATTGTATGCTATTTGCTCTGAATATCCGGCTTAAAGCTCTTAATGCTTTCCCAAATAAGGATGGTGTTTTTCCACAAAACAAAACCATATCCACTGCCACGCAAAGCTACGCAAGCACGCAAAGAACTGTCGTTCAGTCAAGCTGTGCAGATAATTGGGCGCTCGCATTGTTTGGCAAAATTCGGACAACAAACCGCGCTTTTCGTGCGATATTATTTAGCGACAAGTTGTATGAAAAGCACTCGAGAGCAAGACGCAAGAAATGCACACATCAAAAAACATCCAAACGTCCAAATGTCTTCTGTGCTGCGGAATACCTTAGGGCGTTGGATCCACTAATCATTTTTGAGAATATTTTTTGTTTAAAATATTCTTTCTGCAAAACAAAAAATAACAAGTAAAGGAAGCGACGCCCTTGTGCCAACGAACGTATTTTAGATTAAAAATACGCAATGGTTTCAAGGAAATGATAAATAGCTCTTACTAATAACAAATAATTTGTTACTGTACAAGTAAGATATAATTATCTTGCGCCATTTTTACAGCCCTATTTTCGGTTGGACTGCATTCTAACGCTTTTTGCGCGGTTTAAAGACATTTTCGTACGTGTTTTTCATTTAAGGTTAAGTAACCTTTAACTTCAATTCAAGGTACGTATATGCGGTTTATTATTTCATATTACGTTAGTGCGGATTTCGGTAACATATTTCGGACATAGGCATTTCGGACATAGGCGCAGGGTCATTCCACAGGGTGCGGAACTCCGGTGATGTAAAAATCCTCGAAGGTTTCCCCCCCGGTTCTTTACGCTGAGGGTTCTCGTTGTTAGCGACCCGGCCTTCGCTAAAAGTTCCGGTTTTACCTTCGGTGATTTTCGTTTGGCTTTAATCTAAAATAAAAAAAACAGTGGCCATGGCCGGGACTGAAGTAGTACTGTTTGCTTAAAAGATGATTGTTCAATACTTTAGTTTAAAAATGGGAGTACATATATGGGTTTTAGTTAGGTGAACACGGTGCACTTTTATGGTGGGCTTCAATAAGTATTACAGGACAGTAAATTTAACTTGAAGGAGCAAGAAAACTAAACTAAATATCCCTAGTCCGTTCATTTGTCTCCCAAATACGAAACAACTATTGAAAAGAAAAATTGTCATATAATTTCATAATTGAAATCCTCTATTAATCCTTCCTTCAAATAATTGGGACTTCAGTAGCGCAATTGTCAAAGCAAATATGCCTTTCACCTCTGAGATTGCTGCTCCGATTCTTGTTACAGACTTGCGACGTTTATGTGAAAATAGTTAGTGAACGCTCTTCCAAAAGCCGTGGGTTCTTCCGGGTCTCCGGTTTCCTCCCACAGGGAATGTTGAAAAACTGACCTCCTACCGAAGCTGTGCTCCTTGGTTTAGGCTAGAATCTAGACAAGTGGCTTCGAGAGGCGCACTCACAAATTTTTGAACTCGATTAGGTCTCAGTTGCTCTCAGAATAAGGATGATTAGCACACCCCACTTACTCAAAATGTAGGTGTCCACTTGACATGATCTTGTTTTGTCCATTCACAACAATGGTATACATAAATCATAACTTGGGAAATGTGTGTGAGGCAACGTTTACACAGGGTTTATACTATACTGGATAGCGTTACATAGTAGACTGCGAAAAAGCACTATCCCCATTAAGCAACCATATTCCATAAAGTCAACATGTCGAGTAGGCCCCCTGAACTGCGCACAACAAAGCCATGTGGCTGCTTAATAAAGGATTCGCTCTAATAAATTAAACGTTATGTTTACAACTTTCCCAAAAGTTTCTATGCTAGAGTTCTAACACACACAGTACTATCTTGTCTCTGGGTTAAATTCCTAGAACACTGAAATATTTTCCAAGAAGTCACTTAACTGGTATTAGAGGTTATTATTAAAGAGGAGTTAAAGATCTACATTATATAGTATGCATGAAACTTTAACGTTTGTAAAAACAAACCTGTTTAATTAATAAATAGAGATATATTTCCGCGCGCCCATGTATTATTCTGTTTATTATATAAAGGACAGTCTTTGAAAAGCGATAATTTTTACAGAAAAGCGATAATTGAAAAGCGATAATTTTCACATGCGAGATTATCATAAATAATCTCACATGTGAGATTATCACTTTTATCAGTGCTCGAAATATTTATAAAGCACTATACTTTATGTAATAATGTTTAAATTTGTCTTTGCGAGAGATTAAATTGTAGTTTGAATGATTCCTGTATCTTACCGAAAATATGCCCCAACTTAACAAGACAAAATTGTTGAATTACGCGGTTTGAAATGCGGGGGAAATAGCAGCAATATTGAGTGGGGGAGACCACTGACTGCCTCCTCCGCAGGCCCTCGTTGTGTCATGGGAAGGTCACGATTTCGAGAGGGCCTGCGGAATCTTGTAAAATGAATAAATGTTGTTTTGAACTTGCTTCGTTAAAGAAGGCAGTTTTATTCATGCAACATTGGTGTGGACAACAAACCTTTCCGTTAAAAAATGCTTCCTTCCACGTCCTAAGAGTCGCCAGTTTAATTTACAAGTTTCACACCGCTTTTTTATATCTGTTTATATTCAAGATTATGTAGAAATTTACTTGCTGACGTGACGCCGGCGCCATTTTTTTTACAAGATTCCGCAGGCCCTCGCCAGATCGTGACCTTCCCATGACGCAACGAGGGCCTGCGGAGGAGGCAGGACCACTGATCTAATAGTAGACTGGATATAGCTTCTCTAGGTGTGAAAAGTGAAGTCAAATTATATATGCGAAAATCACTTCCGGGGACCACGGAGTGATACAAATTACTATAGAAATGTATGGCGAACAACGTGAACCAAGCTGAATTTTCCCGAATTTGAGATACTTTGCGAAGTTTTACCAAGCTGATCGCTACATCGTGTGTAAAAGATGTTATATTAATGCTTTTAAAACGAAAATTATCCAGATTGCTCTAAAATATCGTTACTTTTGTTCGTTCAAAGTTGTCCATGCGGGAATAATATTTTATCGCCACAGTGGTATTGACAACACAATTTCTAGTTTGCTTTCCAATTACGGAGGCAGATTATGATCAAGCAAACTTTTAAAGGGAAGTAAGTAGTTCATTTATCATTTGTGTTTAACCTTGATCGACCAGAGGGTTTCAAACTTTCAATTATCCATCTTAATATAAAGCCTTTTTACAAAATGTATATACATGTGGTAGTCACTAGTACATGTATTTAATATAGTTCTAAAGATATGTAATAAATATATTTGTACTTTTAGTACTTGTTTTTATTTGTTATTCTGTTAAACTGGAAGACAATATTAATGAAGCTTTCTGTATAGTGAATTTTACTTTTATATTGCAGTTGAATTTTAAACTTTCAGTTGCAGAGTGTATATTGTTTTTATAGTGCAGAGGCTGAGAGGCAGAGTGTATTGTTCATTAATTTTGATCATTCATTTATATATAAACGTTTGTAAGGCCCTGTTTACATGAGACCGGGACGAAGTCAAACTGGAATGAAAATTGAAATTGTCTGTCAAGATGTTTACATGAGACCGGTACGAAAATCACAAAATTT